TCTCTTGCTACTCTTGTATTCTTTAAAATTAGGTTCACTCTTTCCCTACATAGCAGGGTATTTCCACCCTACAAGTCCCATTTGAGCACCCTCTCTTTGCCATCTTAGAGCAATGAGCCGTTACAGAGGCGGATGTCACAGCCAGCTGACCCTGCTTTGGTTTCTCTTAGTCCACAGGCCAATTCAAGGGCTACCAAACAACGGCCAATGGACCGAATCTGGCCCACTGCCCATTTTTGTATGGCCTGGAAGCTAAGAATGTTTTTGACAGATGAACTTTTGCAATCAATTTCATGATAGCAAATACTAACTTTGAACCTCTATTAAGTGAAGTGTTATCCCTTCTCACAAAAAAAAAAAAAGAAAAAATCCATTCTTCTCATTAGGAGACCTGTATTATCAAAAATTGTACTGAATTACTATCAATGGATTTTAAATTTTGTCAATTAAAAAGTTTTGTGGAAATTTGTTTTCCCTCATTATGTAAGTACCTATATAATATCTGTGATTGTACCTACATAAACATCCATGATTTTGCCTCTTGGCCTGCAAAGCCTAAAATATTTACCACTAGCCCTTTAGAGGAAAAGTTTGCTGATGCGTGGTCAAGTTAATGAGAAATGCCTCTATTTTCAATAGCTCATCTAGGTTCACCCTGGGACTTCAATGTGGGTTGGTGGGCAGGAAGAGAGGGGAGAGAGTGTGTTGGGAGAGGGCAGGAAGAAAGAGAGGACAGGAAGCAGGGAGAAGTGCGAGGAATTTAAAAAGCAAGCAGTAAACATCCAGACCCCTTTCTAAATGGGTGAAAAAGAAAAAAAACATTAGTGTGCCCACTATTTCACTCTCTTAATAAAACCCAGGAGGCATGGCCCAGAAGAGACACAAGAGCCACATTCCAATTCTAACTTAAGCATAAGAATAGAATTAGAATTGTCATAACTTAAAACATCCGACATTTACTAAATATCTTCATTTTGGCAGCCAGTACGCTCGGTGCTAATGACAACCAAGAAAGACAAGATCCCTGTTTACAGAGAAGTGAATTTACAAAAAAAAAAAAGTCAATAAATTATGTATCCTCAAGAAATAGAAGAAACTTTAGCATCCTATGTAATTGTAATGTGTTTTTGATAACATTTCAATCTTAAAAACCAAGGTATTTTATCTTAATTCCCCCACAAGTCAATGAACTAGATGAACCAATTATCGTTCTCTAATATATTTTGTTGGAAACTAGATATGAACCCCAAGACACCTGGGGTTCTTTCATCAAGAAGTCTAGTCATGGATGGGACAACTAAGGCCATCAGTCCCAGAAGCTACTTCTCACAGAAGATAATGACAGACCAGTTGATGTGACAAGTCATGTGTCCCACTAACACTTCTGAACTGAGTAATATAATGTAATAAATAAAAAGTGCAATCTCTGTGCTTGAATCTCATGTTGTTTACTTCCTAGCTATATAATCTCAAAAATTTACTTACCCCTTTCTAAACCTCAATTTCCTTACCTATAGAGATTATAATATTACCTAACTGTATTTAATGTAATAGACACATTAAATGAGATACTCCATATAAAGCCCTTAGTATCCCCAACACATAAGTGCTCAACAAACATTAGTTATTACTGTCCTTCTAGCATGCAGTTTCCACCAATCTCAATAGCACATGTTTACAGGGCTTGCCTAATTTGCCACATGGCTAAACCAACACATTAAAAACATATTGCCAAATGCTTTTTCTGCGTCTATTGAACAGAACTTTTCAAAAGAAGACAGCATAAAGGCCAACAAACATATGAAAAAATGCTCAACATCTCTAATCATCAGGGAAATGCAAATCAAAACCACAATGAGATATCACTTAACTCCAGTGAGAACGGCCTTTATCAAAAAGTCCCCAAACAATAAATGTTGGCGTGGATGCGGAGAGAGAGGAACACTCCTACACTGTGGTGGGACTGCAAACTAGTTCAACCTCTGTGGAAAGCAATATGGAGATACCTCAAAGCGATACAAGTAGATCTACCATTTGATCCAGCAATTCCACTACTGGGCATCTACCCAAAAGATAAAAAGTCACTTTATGAAAAAGACACCTGCACTTGAATATTTATAGCAGCACAATTCACAATTGCAAAGCTATGGAAACAACCCAAGTGCCCATCAATTCATGAGTGGATTAATAAAATGTGGTATATGTATACCATGGAGTACTATTCAGCTTTAAGAAACAATGGTGATATAGCACCTCTTGTATTTTACTGGATAGAGCTGGGACCCATTCTACTAAGTGAAGTATTTCAAGAATGGAAAAACAAGCACCACATGTACTCACCAGCAAATTGGTATTAACGGATCAACACCTCAGTGGACATATAGGAATGACATTTATCGGGTATCAGGCAGGTGGGAGGAGGGAGGAGGGGATGGGTATATACAACCACAATGAGTGAGATGTTCAATGTTTGGGGGATGGTCACGCTTGAGGCTCTGACTCAAGAGGGCATGGGGGGGCATGGGCAATATATGTAACCTTAACACTTGTACCCCCATAATATGCTAAAATAAAAATAAATAAATAAATAAAAGAGCCTCTCTGGCTTTAAAAAAAATATATTGCTGCGTTCTTTGAAAATCAGAGGACAGTTTTCAAATGAATCAAAAAATGAAAAACTTCAAAACACCTAGGGATGGGATGGATTTATAATTGAATATTTACAGTTATTTAAAATCAAGTATATAATAACATTTTATTTTAGCAGAAAAATGATTTTCCCTCTTCCAAAAGCTGGTGTCCTGAGAGGAATCCTAGACTAAGAATGAGATCAGGATCTTACAGTGTCAACAACCATAAAATGGCATTAAGAAAGCTTGCCTCAGCTATTTTATAGTGGATACTATAACCTCTCTAAGATTTCTTAACCAGCGAATAAGACATTTTATATAATTTGGGGGGGTCTATATCCTAATATCACACTATAAGCACCCTGGGAGCAACAGCTTCCCATATCTACATTAAAATATATATTTCTATTATACGCTCCTTACGTGTTACTAATTTCCAGTCAGTAGATAAACACCTGCAACACAGTTTTAGCTTTAAACTAAGCTAAATTTAAATCCAGTTGATTTGAATTATGATTTTAATAACCAGTCAGGAAAAACTGGTATCTTTTAAAATTAAAGAATGCATGTTTTATTTTTGCCATAATGGTAATATATATACTTCATAAAACTCATAGATTTATGTATATATACTACTGTTTAGCATAAAAAATTATTTAAAATTAGTGTAAAAAATCTTCTAAAATATCCCCATTTTTATTTTTAATATTACAATCTAGTCCTTAGATATACATATATATTTTATAGAATGAAAACCATACATCATACCTTTTAATGCATTTTTGTAATATTTTACAGCTACACAAGAAACTATAATTTAATTGCTTTATTTATCAAAACTAAATGAAGCAGCCAGGCATGGTGGCTCATTCCTGTAATCCCAGCACCACTTTGGGATGCCGAGGCAGGAGGAATTCTTAACACCAGGAGTTTCAGATGGTCCTGGGCACCGTAGCAATACCCCATCTCTTTAAAACAAACAAACAAAAAACCCTAAATGAAGTGTCTATCTAAATCATTCAACAACCATCTCCTCTAAGTTAATCATGGGTATTTTTCCACAGTGCATTAAAATCTAATAACCATAACCAAAACAATTTACATTTAAATTGTTTTGTTTAATTAAAAAAGGGGGAGGACTTTCTCCAACCACAAATCATTTTAAGATAAGCACCTTAAGTACCTTTGTTCATCAATGTTAATATTTATCAATAAACATTTATTCCTTGACTATCGTGCTTATTTTCATTACAGCCCAAAATTTACTAGGGAAAAAGAGTGTTCATGTCAAAGCCACTCTTAGGCAGTTAAGGAATAAACTGGGGACCAAGAATTAAGATCACAAAAACTCTGAAGTACTGACATTTTATGTGATTTTAGTTTTGTTGTGTTTTGCTTTGGGGGGGGGATGGGGTGGGTGAAACATGTTTCAGGTAGCTTTGGTGGTAAGTGCATTCTCCTGTATTATATTCTAGAGTTCCAGTAACTCTTTAAATTCTAATAATTTATTAACAAAACTCCCACTTCCAATCTTTGCCACAGAACGTAATTTTATTCTGAAGAAAAGTTATAAACGTTGATAAAATATTTAAACTCCTGACACACCTTAAAACTACATAAAAAAATTAAAAATATATATATATAAATTTCTCTTCATTTCCTATTATTCTCTTACAAGCAATATGACTTTTTAAAAGTCCATTTTTTAAAATTCAATTTCTTAAAATCACAAATAATTCTGATTTAACCATTTCTTTGAAATCTAATATCTCAGCTCAAAAATTAAGTGAAGATAAACTAATGTTAACAAAGAGCTTCTTGAGGGGCTCTCAAACAATAATGCCCAAATACAATGCAAAATTACAAAAGCACAGGAAAATGACGTTAGCAATTATTTAGTCCTTTTTTTTTTTTTAATTTTTCTTAGTTTTATAGGTGGGGCAAGTTAGCTCAAGACCACAGGGGTTTGTGGCCAAATAAACACCCAAAACTTAGCAGAAATCCTCAAAGCTCACCATGTGTATGCAACATGCAACCTGGTTTCATCTCCCGCGTGCAGAGTTCTGAGCAGATGGGGGACTCTGGGTGTGTCTGTAGCCAGACAATTGTCCTCATATTGGCAGAGAGACAACTGATACAATTTCTGTAGCTGTTACCTCTTCCTCTTGTAAAACCTTCTTCCTTGCCCGTTTTCCTTCTATAAAGCAGAGTGATGCCCTGACGCTCAGGCTCAGCACTTACTGTGACTGAACAATGAGTGCAATCTCACAGTTCTAGACGGCCTGCCTCACCATGTCACAATCTGAGCACAGGCCCACATTCTGAGAACTTCCTTCCTCCCTGGTGGTGAGATCCTCTTCTTTCAGAGTGCCACAGCCCCACTCCATTTATGTTGGAGGAAGTAGCCAAAGCAAAAGTATGACCTGCCATCCAACCTGTACATCTTCCCATCGAAAGCAGGTAATCTTTCTCTGCTTATCATTCTCTGAATGCCTTGTTAGGGTAACGACAACAAAAAAATTCTCTTTCATATGTGTTAGAAAGTCTAATATTTTGTCAAACAGAAATGAAAAATAAACCCAATCTAAGCTGTCATAGAATAATGAAATGCCTCTGGCAGTTCCATCAAAGTATGCAGACATGCACGGATTCTTTGAAGAAATGAAACTGCAGTTTATCAAGTGTGATTTATAAGCAACACTGATTTAGCTGGTTGATAACACTGCTGTCTAATCATTAGTAGTCAGACAACAGCCATGTGAACACATCAATTATGGGCCACTGCCAAAAGCCCTTGAGATCTTGGAGATTAACAGCCAATCCTCTGTTTTACAAGCTCACATCAAAAAGAATATTAATAAGAGGAGGGGCAATGTGAAAGCTTGTCAGAGTAATTCAGCCACTAAAACAAGGCATTTTTTTTTCTCTCCTCTCTGTTGAATTGGCCCAAGGAAGAAGCTGGCATGAGCTACAAAGTGCAATGCTGCCAATTTCTTGGAAAATGTTTTTCACTAACATATGGGAACTTGTAAGGGTCTGCAAAACTGCTATTTGGTGAATAAGACAGACAAGCTTTCTCCTTTTTAATGCTGCAATGAAATAAATGGACTCATTATTGAATTATTTTTAAATTAACATGCACAGTAGAAATATTCATTGCTTTTTCTCTCCCCTCAAAATCAGAAATTTTATAAAATTTCATCACATATATTCCATTTCTAATACTTCTGCTATCCACCAAAATCTAATTAAGAGAAACTACTAATACTAACCTGCACATTAATAAGTTTCTTCAAATTAACATAGTTCTTTCCAGTGTCGAAAATCAAAATTGTTCACTAACTCTACTTAAATTTCTTCCTTCCAACTATCTCATGAAGATAGATATAAATCCCACTGATATTTCTGCAATTAGAATTAAACTAGCTCTCATAACCCATACATAGAAAACATTTGCAAAAATATATGCCATAGGCAGAGCATTCGTTTCAGTTATATCTGTATTTAACATACACACCAGTTGAGGATTGCTATATTTTTGTAAATGATCAGATTAAACTAAACAGCTGGCAACTAAGGTTTAGTGGGGTTCCAGCAGGCTCCCTAATATATGAACATAAGCCACACTGCAAAATGTGTAGCCTGGGTTTCTCTGCCACTTACAGATTTGTTTGCATTTTTATTTGTAGAACACTATATTTACAGAGTGTTTTCCTATTATTTCATTTGTTGTTCATCATTTCAAAATCAGTGTGGGGTGGTGGGGAAAACATTAGGGAAGGAAAAAGAAGCATGATTTCCTGTTGCTTCTCAGTAGTTAAGCCGTTTGGCCCCTAAGTCAGTCACTTAATTCAAGGGCTTGTTGACAAGCAATTGTTAAATCACAGATTCTTTACCTGGGGTTCAAAGACTTTTGTAGAGTCTGAGAAACCCTGTAATTACAGAAGCAAAGGTTGGTGTGTTTGTACACTTTCTTTCTTTTCCTGGACAGAAGGTCCATAGATACTCAGTAAAATCCTAACCTACAAAAGAGATAAGAACTAGCGACCTAGTGGTAAATTTAGGGACAAAAGAAATCTACGCCTCTTTTTCACTATAGTACATACTCAGTGAACATTTGCTAGACTAAAGCCACTGGCTTTTGTTCTAAATCTCAGTTTCTTCACCTGTAAACTGGAGCAATAACATGTACGTATGATCTTTGAAGACCATCATAAGAAACCAACAGGATATCACTTTGGAAGTACTTAAACAAATTTAAGGTGCTACTGAATACAACAAACATTCCTTGGGCTAAAATGATCCTCCTGCCTCAACCTCCTGAGTAGCAGAGACTACAGGTATATAATAGGCCCAGCTAATTTTTATTATTTTTAGTAGAGATTGGGGTCTCACTCTTGCTCAGGCTGGTCTCGACCTCCTAATCTCAACCGATCCTCCCACTTTAGCCTCCCAGAGTGCTAAGATTACAGGTGTGAGCCACCATACACCGCGCCCAGCCTAAAAATTATTGCTTTATTATTAGAAAGGAAATAGCCTTCAGAGTAAACAATTTATCTGGGGAACTTACTTGGGGGGAAGGCAGATGTCTCAAAAAGGAAACTATGCCCCGACTTTGATGATGTTATATTAGAAGCTCACTCCAAAAGATATTAGATTACTCATGAACAGGCATCATCATCATCTTTTGTAATACATCTGATTATGAGGTCTCTTTTCTCTGCCATTTTTCCAGCAAAAACTCTCTTAATGTTAACAAATACACACAACTAGGCCGGGCGTGGTGGCTCATGCCTGTAATCCTAGCACTCTGGGAGGCCAAGGCGGGCTGATTGATCGAGGTCAGGAGTTTGAAACCAGCCTGAGCAAGAGTGAGACCCCGTCTCTACTATAAATAGAAAGAAATTAATTGGCCAACTAATATATATATAGAAAAAATTAGCCGGGCATGGTGGTGCATGCCTATAGTCCCAGCTACTCGGGAGGCTGAGGCAGCAGGATTGCTTGAGCCCAAGAGTCTGAGGTTCCTGTGAGCTAGGCTGATGCCACGGCACTCACTCTAGCCTGGGCAACAAAGTGAGACTCTGTCTAAAAAAAAAAAAGAAGAAAGAAAGAAAAAGAAATACACACAACTTAGAGGCTCTATAGGAACCACAACCATGCCATGGCTATTTAACAGAGCAACATCAGAATTCGTTCGGGTGAAACAGACCTTCACAGTAAACATGTGTATCTTCAATCTACTGAATGGATACTGACAAGTATATTTCTTGGAAAAACATATTTTAATAACATGTTGTGTTTAATGGGCATCTTCAAGGTAAAAAAAATCAAACTACTGTTCTTTTTAACAACAATTATGGCTATTAATGACATATGATTGTAATCAATGATTATATACCAAAATTGTCAGAATGGGCTGTACTTAAAGTTCTTACACAAATTTCAACAGAGATAAAGGGGCCAAATTCATGCCTGAGTTCCTAATATCTTATTATATTCCAAACTGTTGGGCTGGCTTCCCCCCCCAAAAAAAAATTAGACTGTTAACTTGGTTGAAACAATTTTCTCAAGATTACACCTAAGCTATAATAGACACTTCCCTCTTACTTTTGAATAAAGACTTTTAGCCTTCCATTTTAGCCCTGAAAGTTTTGTGGGTAACAAAAACAATCATCAGACAAAAATGTGCCAGCAAACAGGATGCCAGTGCAATCTGTTATTCTGACATAGCATGACCGTTCTGTAGAAATCCTCTTTAGCTTCATTCCTTAAAATCCAACAGACACGCTCTACCAGACCTAAGAAAGCAGGTGCAATATAACCGATGACACAGACAGTACTTTCAAAGAATTAAAAATGTCACATAAATGCAAGCTAAAAGAAAATCCAGATAATTCTCAGCAATGGCTTCGCCTATGATCATTACATGGAAGAAAGACAAAAGGCGTGGACCCAGTAGAGCCAGCTTGAGGCCCTCTTCTCCTCTGCAACCCTGCTAAAAGAGAATCCAGTTCAACAAATATTGAGTTAGCATTTCCTAGAAGAGGGCACAGTGCTAGGTGCCAGGGAGATAAAAATAAGATGGCAGTGGCACCCCTGCCCTCAGAGGTCTCGGTTCGGCAAGGGGGACATGTACTCACATATCACAGAACAAAAAGGGGAAAATGTAGATAAAAAGACACATGCTTCCAGTGCAATAAGTAGGAATGGGGGAAATTACAACTCTTTTGGAACTGGAAGGATGCTCAGAAAATGTAGTCCAAAAAGAAACTAAGTCCCAGAAACAGTGGCTTTTGCCCAGAGTCAAAAAAGAAATCAAAGCCATAATCATCAACTGAGACCCAGTCTCCCAATTCCAGTTCTAGAGTTTCTCTCCCTGGATCACCACCAAAGTAGGAATCAAAGTAAAGGGTCTGCAACAGGGAACAATCTACCTAAAAGCCGCATGTGGCCAACATCAGCAGGACCTGTTGGCTATGTTCCACCAAGAGGGCACGACAGCAAACTGGCAATTTTCTGAAGCTCAGCTGACCAGAGGAGATGACCTCCATAGATCAGACCTACAGCAATAATACTTACAACTGCATGCTTTATACACTCCCCAAACATTTTCTCCTGCCTCCACAGCAATTATCTACGCTACTAAACCAAAATGGCTACCTAAGCAAAGCCATGGCTCATCTTTACTACTTAAGCAGTTCATTTGTGTAGGAATGTTCCTGCCCCAGGATTCTAGGAAACACCAGTAAGTGTATTTACTGGCTGTAAATATTCCTAGGGCTGGAGCTGCAAATCATTAGTCCTTCCTGCTCTACCTCCCATTTGACCAACTGTACTAATTAACCACCTGTAAAACACCTTAATGAAGTCATATTTAAAGCAATACTGTGGTGATTTTTCTATAAAGAACCTTCAAAAAAAAAAAAAACCCAGGAAATTCTAATAACCATTCCTAACATCTGCAAATGAGCTATCTGAAGCTTCTGCTAAATGCACACAAAAGAGCCAACCTCTAGAGCTGGAGAATCAGAACAGGGTTTAGGAGACCTGGGACTGGATATTTGGGGAAATGAAAACAATTAAGCACTCTTCAAATAATTCAAATGTACAACTTTGAATAAGAAACAATATTTATATTAAGGGTTCAAGGATTCTGGATACTGAATCAAAAATCATTTATACAGGCCAGGCACAGTGGCTCACACCTGTAATCCTAGCACTCTGGGAGGCCGAGGCGGGTGGATTGCTCAAGGTCAGGAGTTTGAAACCAGCCTGAGCAAGAGCCAGACCCCATCTCTACTAAATATAGAAAGAAATTAACTGGACAACTAAAAATATATAGGAAAAATTAGCCAGGCATGGTGGTGCATGCCTGTAGTCCCAGCTACTTGGGAGGCTGAGGGCAGGAGGATCACTTGAGCACAGGAGTTTGAGGTTGCTGTGAGCTAGGCTGACGCCATGGCACTCTAGCTGGGGCAACAAAGTGAGACTCTGTCTCAAAAAAAAAAAATCATTTATATAGAAATATGACCCCGAAAACCAATAAGGTGAATATCATACCTTCCAGCTAAAGACCATAAAGTCAGTTCAACTACCATAAAAGCGGTAGAAACAAACAAACAAAAAAATGTCTAATAATCTAGGAGTAATAAAAGTCTTCTTTAGGAATACAAAACCCAACACAAAACCCAACAGCCATAAAAATATGAATTGTAAATAAACTTGACTGTATATAAATTTAAGATATTTGCACAGTGGTAAAAAAAAAAAAAAAAAAAAACTACCATAAACAGAATCAAATAACAAATAGAGATAGAAAAAAGATTTGCAAAGCACATAAAAAATATTTGTAAAACATACCCCAAAACTCATGTATTTAATTAATATACACTGAAATAATTAAAATCAATAAGAAATGGCCAAGAACTTACCAGAAAATTACTCAAAGGTTATAAATTACCAATATGTAGAAAAATAAAGAGCTACAATGGCTTGTACACAAGAAAAATGCAAATTAAAATCAGATTACTATCAGATCAACACAGATTAATGGCAGAAAATCATAACTCGTAGTGCTAATTATAGAAATACAGACAATTCATGCTCTGTTGTTGGGGTGAATGCAAACTGATGCATTCTAGTTGGGCAGTGGAGACAACTGAAATTTGAAATATATGTGTGCAAAGATGTTCATTAGAATAGTTTTTGTAACTACAAAGGCCTAACCTAAATGCTATCAAAAGACCAGTTAAATTATGGAATCAAAGGTAGAAAAGTAACATATGATATCCTAGACATACAGTTATGTGAAAAGCACAAGGTGCAAATCAGTTTCTTTAATATGCTGATTTGTATAAGGAGGCAAGAAACATAAATATATTTGCTTGAACATACGGAGACTATTTTAAGAAGGACATACAAAACTGTTAAAAATAATTGGCTCTAGGAAACAGGCTGGGGGGTCTAAGGGGGTAGTAAAACCTACTTTCCATTATATAATAATTTAGTACAGTTTGAACTTTTACAGATTTACGTCCTGCTTGTCTAATTTAAAAAAACAGTCAATTAAAAAGTATTTTAATAAATGCAACTAGTTTATCAGGGCTCTAGACCAGTCTCCAAAGCAGGAGGCATGTTAAACTCCCTGGGAGTATGCAAGCAATCTATTGGGATACAAGAAAGAAAAAAGACTGGCATTTCTTTTTATATTATTACCTCATTATTTTCAGTTTCTGTTGTTTATGATTTTAGTAATGGTGGGCTATATTAAGGCAATAGTATGTCTTTACAGAGAGTATGTGTGTACAACTAGACACACTTGGAAAACATTCCCTCTGGGCAAAGTAATACTCTCTTTTAATTAATGTCTTCTGAGAAAGGTACTGTTTTGTCCACTGAAAAAAGACTCAATATTTATGATCTTGCATGTGCAGTCAGTTGATATAATTCACACAAGGTAACATCCCATCTCCCTTAACCACCTAGAAGTGAGAATGAAATCAAAAGATCTGAGGAATGAAGCCAGAAGTTAAACTTAGGATAGGTAGGTTCCCACACATTGAGATCTTTCCATAACTTAAGTCACAGCCTGTCCCTCCTCTGCTCATAACTCCCTAGTCCCTCCTACCTTTCTGAGTCTTACCTGGTTCTGGAACATTCCCTGGAGCCTACACTTCATCTCCTTGCACTCTCCTCCTTCCGTCATCCAGCTCTAGCCAGCCAGGTGTCTCCTCAAACACACCAAACACACTCTTCCTCCCTCCTCCCCAGAGCTTGTTCACAGGCTGTTCTGTCTAGAAAGCTCCCTCCACAGGGGTCAAATGGCTCATCACAGTACTCAGGTCCCTACTCAAACAAAAAGAAACATAAACTCTCCTTTCCTACCATCTCTCTCTCCCACTTCCCCTGCCTGATTCTCCGGTATAGCAGGTAACACCAACCAAAATATATTTATTTGTCCAGAATAAACCAGAATATAAGCTTCTTGAGAGCAGAGACTTGATTTGTTCACTACTGTACCTCCAGGACCCAGACTGTGCTTGGCATATGCTAGGCATTCAAAATATATTTGCTGAGTAAATATTCTTACTGGATCGATAAAGTAAGGAACAAATAAAAGAATAAAATTGAGACCTGCACTGTCACCTCCCTCATTCTAATATTCCTACTGTCAGAACACCAAATGGTCAAAGTTCTCTAAATGGCAGGAGGAGGCAAGGAATGAATAAAGAAATGGATATTTAACTGCTATCTATAACATCTATAATTTTTTTAAAAATCCCTTAACATAGCAACAATACCCTGTACGACAATAAAATGAAAACTTTCTACTTTTTTCATCACCACAAAACCTGTCAACTGCCCTGCATCTGGTTATACTTTCTGAGCTTCTCCTGTGACAATGGAGGACCTGTCCCAGCTCGAGGTCCTATCTGCACCCATGTACCAGATCTCCTCCATCTTGGCCCTCATGCCTATTCCAGGACCTTATGCCCTCTCTGTCCAGTATGATTAGCTTTTCTCCACCAACCACCCATCATTCTCATCAGCATACAAACAAGTGATGAGAGTTCCCCACTTTAAAAAATGATAGGTATTTAATAGATACTCCCTGATACCTCATGCTGCCCCTTAAAGAAAAGTGCTGTACTCATCACGTTCTGTTTTTGCTCACCTCCCACAAAAAAATCCAAGCACTCCAGTTAAACTTTTTATTTCCCTATCCCTACCTCTAGCCCTAGGAACATTTGTGTTAAGGTCACCAAGAATCAATTCTGGGTCTCTAACTTCTTGGCAGTATTTGACATGGCTGATCACACTCTGCTTGCTAGAATTTCTTTACTTGCTTTCCAGAAACACCAGACTGGTTGGATTTTCTTCCTCCTCAATGGACACAGTCCTGGTTCCTCCTAATGCTCTGTGGCTCAGCTCAGGGTCCTAGCCTTTTCCAACTATACTCACCCTCTAGGTGACCACTCCAACCCAACAACTTTAAAGTCCACCTGTAATGCCCATTTCCCCAATCTGTGTCTCCAGCCCTGGCCATCCAAAATCAAACATCAGCACTCGGCACCCATGGGATAAAGCAAAGGTGAGTCACAACTCTTGATTCCATCAACCTTCAAAATCCAGGTGTTTTCTGTAATTCTCATGCTTTCACGACACCATATCCAAGTCCTATCCTCATTACCTTAAGATAACATGACAACTTCTCACCACCCTGACACCTACCAAAGAAGTCTATCTTCTCTAAAATTAGCCATGTGTGGTGGTGCACACCTACAGTCCCAGCTACTTGAGAGAATAAGGCAAGGGGATTGCGTGAGCCCAGGAGTTCAAGGCTGCAGTGAGCTATGATCATGCCACTGCACTCCAGACTGGGCCACAGAACAAGACCCTGTCTAGAAAAAAAAAAAAATCATTCCCTTACTCCTTACCATGACCTACAAGGCCCTGTATGGCCTGGCCTGTGCCCAACTTCCAATTCAATCTTGTCGTGGTCTATGCAGAACACATTCCATCCTTCCATGCTAGTTATCTGAGTGGACTCAATAGCATGTACAATCGACCAAGAAAAAGACTAGAAAGAAGCATGTCCCAACAAAAAGTGCAAACAGCCAGTCAATCAGGATTCCAGGCTTTGGTTCCCCTATCCACTCAGCACCAGCTGCTGAATCTGCTCTTCCTGTCCCATCTCAAGCTTACACCCGACACAGCCCCCAACCTGTGGCAGGGCTTCAAAACCACAACTGCCTCAGACCCTGCACTTTAAGACCCCTTGCAACAAGTAGGTAAATCTCCTACTTTGTTTGTCTAATGAAACTCTTCCCCTCTGTGCCCTGAGATGTGCCAGCATCTCCAACAGAAACAGCACAGCCCTGCACACTGTCAGCCCTAAAAGCCTTTCCTGTCCCCAGGTCAAGGCTGCAGAGGAAATAAAAAGTACCACTGCCCACACCAATTATGGAGAGTTTATCACACCCATCATCTTTCTGACTCGTGTCGTTGGGATTCCAGTAGCCTTGCCCTTGCACGGCTGCCCTCAAAGCATCTTTGTCAGTTATACACACTATTTCTGTTTTTATTCCTCAACTCAATTTCATCATCTCAAATTTGAAGAGATTTCTAGAAAGCACAACTTACAGAAATGTACACATATATAAAACTATATTAACAAATATAGAAAGTAGAAATATATGACATTTATACCATAATTTAAAGACAGTATCAATCTTCAGCATCTCATTTTCTCATTAGGTCTCTATTTTAATCTCACTCCAAAAGTCCCTTTAAAAAAAATCAGAAAAAAAGGCTGGGCGTGGTGGCTCACACTTGTAATCCTAGCACTCTGGAAGGCCGAGGCAGGAGGATTGCCTGAGCTCAGGAGTTTGATAACAGCCTGACCAAACGCGGGACCCCATCTTAGCCAAAAACAAAATTAGCCGGGTGTCACGACGTGCCTGCAGTCCCAGCTACTCTGGAGGTTGAGGCACAAGAATCCTTTGAGCTCAGGAGTTTGAGGTTGCAGTGAGCTGTGATGCTGCCACTGCACTCTACCTGGGGTAACAGAACAAGATTCTGTCTCAAAAAAAAAAAAAAAAAATCAGGAAAAAAAAAACTACATCAGACCCTGCTTTAACTTCATCACTTATACCTGGTTGCTCGCTCCAAGTGTCTTAAGAAACATCTACAGAAGCAGTTCTCTCCAAAGCCAGCTTTACAAATAGGCAGAACAGATGACTGCGCAAAAGGTGTGATTTAAGACACCAGGAAAGCTCCCATGCCTCTCTTCTTACCAAACAGTCTCTACCTTTGAACTCCACACCTTGGGGCTTTAAAAGCCTACTCACAGTGGGGTGGCGGTACCATCTTAAAATCACATTAAGGGTCATTCAGTGGACTGCTAATGGATGGCAAAGCTCGTGATAAATGGAGAAAAATTAGGTTCTAAGTGGATAGGAAAATATCAAATGTTAAAAGAGATGTTTGTTTTTAAAAGGAGCTTAGCCAAAAATCACCTCTGCTTTGCAGTGGCTGCCTTTTTGTGTATCTTGCCCTCCCAAGCTACTGGCAATAATCGCCTCAGCCTCCGGAAGGACCTTCTCTTGGCCTGTCTTGCACAGGTTTTCCATAAACTGAAAGTCACCATCCCAGCCTGGCTGGCCTTTTGGTTATCTTCCTTACCATACAAGACAACCTCAAGCTCATTCCTTGGGCTATTTTAAAATGCTAAGGACTTAATAGTCAAATATTAAAGCAACTGATATATGGTAAATATTATATAATGCATATAAATTTGGCTCATTTCTTTATACTTTCTGAACATTATGAAATGTGTTTATTTATAAATATTTGGGCATATCTCCACTCCTGAGCAAGAAATGTACCCATGTTGCTGGCCTTGTAGACCACTGTGCCATAAATCCCACCCCCTCTACTCACAGCAGACCTTATCAACAGCCCCAGAACCTCGCCTTCTGTCCCAGGGCTTCCTAAGCCCCGTGACACATTCTTCTTCTTTTCTTCCTTGTAATTCCAGGTAACACAAATAGAGTTCACTACAGAATCCTATTAGCCTACCAACCTCAAAGCTAACTTATGGGTCCAAGATTTAGGTCAGCAGTGCCCCAACTACAAAAGGGAAGGGGGCCTACGTCTGTCCTTTAGACTCTGACCTGCACAGGAAGCAAGGAGAAAGAGGAGGAGGTCTTGAGCAGCTGTAGAAGCATCACTTCAGATAATTGTACTCATTCTGGCATGGCCTTCAAATACACGAAGTGTGAAAAATGAATGGATGCTAAAAACAAGGCTCGTCCTCACACAGCACTAATCATCACCGCACGGCCCCTTTCTGCAAACTTACGCTCTCTTTGAGCACCACAGCTGCAGTTTGGGAAAAGCAGGCGGGTCCAGGCCTCAGAGAGCACCCCAGAGAGGGAATCCTGGACAAGAGCAGAATTTGCCCCACTGTTTGATGAGATGAATACCAAAACCCCTTAACCAAGAATAGCCAGTGACAGAAAAGTGGTATCTTAACACACTTGAGGGGAAACCTAGTCTGAGCTCAGGAAAGGTTAAATGCACACATATTAGGAAACACTGAAGAACAGAACACAGTAAATCTTTAAATATTAAAAATCACTCCTCTTCTAGACTCTATTTGTTCACCCGGTTTTAATAAATTCTTTAAGCTTTTCCTTGACTGTAAATACTATACATATATATGTATGTTTAAGTATATATGTCTCTGTGTGTTTATAAATATAAAATATACATATATGCCATAGTTAGTGATCTATGGTTACTTTTAATTCTTTTTTGTTGTTTACTTGTTGTTTCCCGCACTCCCCCAAAGGGTACTTTGAAATCTTTCCAGTTTTTACAATTAAACCTAACCATCTGGACAGAAATCTTCACATTCACTAAATTAGTCACAGATTTTGTGGGTAAGCTGAGAAAGTAAATGCTACGCTCAGTGCTAGGATTTAAACCACATCTACCACAGCAAAACACTCTCTCTCCAATAATCTCTCCAATTATGCACGCACATTCAGGGCTCAAATAACACGGAAGCAACTACACCTCATTGCACAGAATTATTTGTACAGTTAGTATTATTCTTTAGATCCCAAAGTGAGTTACAACAAATCCAAAATAAAATTCTTCAAAAACCTTTCAGAATTTATTTTACAGACAAAAGATAAAACAGTGCCTATTTTTCCACTATTTTTCCAGTGCCTAACTTCCCACTACTACCAGTGTGTGCTGGAAAGCCGCTCGCCAAATTCACAAGCAATGTGAAGAGATCTGTATGTGTTGAATGCTGTGATTTGAATACACTGGGCATTTTCTAAATTTTTCAAATATAAGTCTTCAAATCTCTTCAGAGTTTACTGTGTCAGAAAAGGAAAAGCGAACGTGTTTTAAGATTCAATACACTTAGAGACCTCAAATCCAACCAGGACAAGTCATTTTGTGTTGTCATCCAATCACCAGTACATAACTACAGATATCACAGAACTTCTATCACTTTAAAACTGGACAGGATTATCTGCTGGGAGTAACTCTGCAGCTGTACTATCTCCAGGTAAATGGAAAACACTGGTTTTTACAAGGCAGTAATGTGTACGAATTTATAGCAGGCTTATGGAGGCATATGCTGGCCTTTCAAAGGAGACTTTAAGCCTTTAATATGAGCTAAGATAGAGAGTATTAGACTTTGGTGTAAGCAGGTTTTTAAAAATCATTTTCAGAGTGTCTTGGGTTAGCGTTTTTCCTTTCACATTTTATATGGACAACAAAAGGATCCACTTAAATGGTATACAGAAGAATGGGTTAGAGGAGAGGAGCAAAAGACAAGGGAATTCTTGTTAATATTAAATTTAGAAGGGCAGAAAGCTAAGCATCTAACTCTCCATTCTTTATGCTACATGTGAACATAGACTTAACTTACTGAAATAGATGGTATGGTTAGCAGGTGCATTTTTAAAATCCTCAGAAGCACTCATATTGTGGAGGCACTGACGATTTGGTAAAAACCTTTCTTTCCTGGAAGGATTAAACTGTGGAGCGATTTCAAGATTTCAAAGCCTCTAGGTTGTCATAAATATTAACAAGAAGCCATGTTTTTTTAATCTTTGCACTTTTATTTTGGCTTCCTAAGTAAACCTAGGTTGAGTGCATATTAACATTCAAACAACCAAAAAAATCAAATTTAGGTGAGCATTTGTAGGGTTTTACCACTTCGGTAAAACGGACTTTTAAAAAATATATGCCCATGAATTTAGTCTACTTAGTGACTATGACTGTTATATTTTATGAAATTTAAAAGTTTGGAGTTTTAAAAATTACCATGATCACAAAACTAAAATCCTGTCTCTTTTCTCACTAAATAGAAAATATTAATAGAAAAGAATCTGGGATGAACAATAGCACATTAAAAAGTCACCAGCAATTTGACAGGACTGAAAGCAGTGACACTTAATTTTTTATACTCTCTTTGCTCCCCAATTCTTACAATCCTGTTGTTCACCAGCCCCCAGAAAAAAACAGATCTATAAAAGAAGCTATCAGCCAATGATGTAGACTAAAAAATTATGCCATTTCAAAAGCATCATGACGCCAAGATAATAAATAGTATCAGAACTTAAAACAAGGAGAAAAACAAAACATCATCTTAAGCCAAGATATTTAAAAGTTCAATGTATCAAACATGCATCAAGTAATAAACAAATGATTTTAATGTTACAGAAGAAAAGAGCTTTTTCATGGCCAAAGGGAACACAAAGGTATCATGTAGGAACAATACTTGTAAGTATGCTGAGTTATCAGAAAGGGTGATAGTTTATACACAAAAGGCAGATTGAGATAAAAGGTTTCACTCCCAAGATTAATGTAAAAATAAAAACACAGAGTTGGGGAGTGCTTAGAATGATACTTCTAGAAAACAACACTTTACTAGCGATTTCCATAAGCCTATTCTATTTATTCATGCGAAGATTAGAAGGACAAATTATAACTATTAACACAATGGAGACAAACACCATGATTTCTGATCTTCTGTTAAATATAATCTAGTTCTGATAAAAAATTGTGTGTGTGTGTGTTTTTAAAGGCATCCTGAAATTCAGGCTGCCAGGCAACAGCTCTTGCCCGCAAAAGTGCTGTGCCACTTCACTGCTTGCCGGAGAGTCCCTTTCTATTTAGAACCGTGGCCACTCACTAATGAAATAGTGGGGAATTTCTATAAACGGTCCCAATTATTCAAGAGAATGCCTTGCCTGGGCCCTGCAACAAAGGCTCTACAACAACCACCCTCTTTCCCACACACCTTTCTTCTGCTTTTCTATTCTCTGCCTCCACCACCAGCCCCACTACCACCCCCCTCAGCCCAACACACAGGAAGATTTCAGCAAGTCTTCTAGCTCCTCTCAGCTAGAACCTTAAGTTTTCAGCTGCCTAACCAGGCAGCAAAGAAATAACAACCTGCCTCCCCTTCCTCCCCTCACTCTTTACAGCTTAAAAAATGCACTTGGCCAAACAGTTCTCACCATTAAACAATTCATTCTTATTCTGCCTCCTTTGTGAAAGGAAAACAAAAAGGGTAAAAACAGCTGAGCATGATCACAAAACACAACACTGGGCATTCAATTTCTGTACCTTACAGCCTCATTCTTTCACCTCCTAGTCCATAGGATTTGGCGACCGAATAAGTCTTAATCTGTAAACAAATGGTTTGCTCTACAATTAAACCATTCATTCTTTTTTTTTCTTAACTGCTTGGCGACTGCCCAACCCAAAGACTTCTAGGTTCTTCCATTATTTTGCTCTCCCAATGGTTAAAAGGCAATAAGCTCATTTAGAGTTTATAAAACTATGCACCATCAACAAAAGCATGTAATGCTTCCAAGATGCACAGTGGCTTCTACACCCACAATGAGGAGCTGTGTGTAGTCTCCCCCCCAAACAAAAATGCCAGGCCCCAATTAAGCACCCTGGGGGCCTTCAAAGCAGTTATGCTAAGTTGCAAATACAGCAAGATCCACTTGAACTCCAACTGTCTTGTGTGCTTTTCCTCCCAAGGTAGGGAAAAAGCCCAGGCAGACTGACCTCATTAAAGGGTAATTAGTGAACCCCAGGACTTGAGGGGCTACCACAATCATGCCTATTGTGAGCATTTCACTATGGAGCCACTATTTTTTCTTTTAAACCCAGGAGGTCTATGCAATCTGAAGGCCCCATGTTTTAAATTTTTAAGGATTTCAAACTGGCTATTTTTTCCTACCAGTCACTGAGTAAGAAGAAAGCAATACAAAGACGACTCCTACTTCTGTAGAATTGAGGCACCACTAAAAATAAGTTTTTCATAAAATCATTTAAATAATTTATACTCTCTATATATAATAAATAAATAAAGTTTTGGCTGGGTGCAGTGGCTCACATCTGTGATGACAGCACTTTGGGAGGCCAAGGTGGGAGGATCACTTTCTGGGTAACATGGTGAGGCTCCATCTCTGTAAAAAATTTTTTAAAAAAATTAGCCAGGGGTGGTGGCACACACCTATATTCCCAGCTACTTAGGAGGCTGAGGCAGGAAGATCACTTGAGTCCTGGAATTATAGGTTGTACTGATCTGTAATCAAGCCACTGTACCCCAGCCTGGGAAACAAGAGTTTCACTCTGTTTCAAAAAAAAAAAAAAAAAATTGTTTAAATGCTCCACTTTCTGATTACAGAGAGATTAAAAATACCACATAAAAAGGATATTATAAATCATTCAATATGTGGTTTTTATGATTATATATGACAACGATGTTAAAAAACTGATGCACCATTTACATGTGAAAGTGTTACTTAGAAACTAATACAGAGTGCTGTGATCAACATAACCACTTTACCATCAATAAAATCCTTCACACCTCTTTAAAGCCCATTATTACTGTTGATACCAACCTGCCAAGATGCTAGAGTACTGAACTCTGCTATAAAATGCACCAGTAAATTTCTCTGTTTATATTAACAGCAGCACCTTTCCACAAATACTAACCCAGAGATCCACTGCTTTGGTACTAAAAGCCTCCAGTACCTGAGAAAGTCTTTAAGGCAAGTAATAAAATGGTTGTCTTAACTTGACCTTCTCAGCAAGATTTAAACAACTCTAATATTTACATATAATCAGATGGATCAACATCTTTGTAAAAAAGATTACTGAAAAGGAAGAAATAGATTTGGGGTGAATGATCACCATCAAAACAGAACCACCCCCAAACTCATTCTCCTAAGAGTGCATTATTGGAGGGGGGGAGACTAAAGTCACAGGAACCCATGGACTATGCCACTTGACCACAAGACTCCAACAGCTCGGGAGGGCGTACTCCAAAGACCCAAACACAGACTTGCAGGGTACACGTTAATGCCCATAGCGACATCTTTAATGCTGCCCTTATATTTGCGTCAAGCCAATTAATCACCCATTCATTTATTTGGGTTTACAGCTTTTGAATATTAAAGAATTTAAAGGCAAAGAACAAAAGTCTTTGTGTTTTGGCCAAATATACTTTAAAATATATTTAGATGGAAATTTGTGTGTATTTACCTTCTATTAAAACGCTGCACAGGAACCCCTCCTTAGCCAAACATCCTGTTTTATTTTAGAAACACTACAAAATTTATTTGCATAACTTAAACACATGCAGTACATTTTGGGAAATGTTGAAAAGATGAAAAAGGCTTATTTAAAGGATGGAGGAGGAACCCCAACCATAGTTGTTTTGGTTTTGTCTTGTTTTAATATATCCAGTATATATGAGGCTTTCGGAAAAAAATGCAAATCCTGGAAGTCATTCCAAACAGTTGGAAACTCTTCCTCTTAAAGTAAATCCAAGGGCTCAAAAAATAAATATTCAAGAGCATTAATTTGTTTCTAGATGTGTGCGTGCAAGTAAAACAGCAGTCATAATGTGGAAATTTCAGTCACATTTTGCAACTAATTGGAAGCAGATTAGAATTCCGCCTCAGGGGAACGTTGTCAAACTAGAAGCTGGAGCAAATGAAGAAAGAGGTGAAGGCGTCGTGAAGAGCTGACAGATTTACAGCGCTCGGGGCCATAAACGGGTCCCGCGCGGGAAGGAGGGCGCGTCCCCGGCTGCACGCCCCCGCCCCGCCCCGCCCCCGTCGGGAGCGCGCAGCCGGCCGAGGCGCCAGCGCCGCGCCCCGGGCCGGGCCCTGCGTCTGCCCGGGGAGCACACAATAAACGGACCTCCTGAAGAAACCCGCTGCTGATAAGGTGTAAACCTGCGGACTGATAAACTGGGGCACGCGAGAGTCACCGGGAGAGAAAGCCGCTTCATTTTAAAGGGGGGAGGGGAGGGAACAAGGAAGCAG